ACGCATGTCACTGTTTTTGTTTGTCAAGATGCAATTTCTCAGACCAAATATTTGGGTATGAATTATTCCATCTTAACCCATCTGTCTGTGTAGCAAAGAATACTAAATAAAATAGGATGGTAAGGTTCAGCTAATGCAGACTAATGATACAATTTGGAATAGCTCAACCTGCTATGCACAGCTGGCCTGTTATCTTCCATGTGGTTTTACTTTTTAATACGCTAGAGCTTTTCACAGTTGGGTTTTCTTTTCAGATAGACATGTCAGTGATGGCAGAAGTCCTCCACTACGTCGATGTGACAGATGCTCAATTTTCTGTAGCTGTTCTTGCCATTATTTTCAATCCATTCTTCTGGAATGTCGTAAGTAGTCCTTTTCTTTGTATATGTATGTATACTGATACCTTATCTAAACTTGCACTAGCCCCTGCTAGTGACAGAGTTGGTTTGAAATGTGGAGCAGGGAAATTAGAGATGTCAAATTTAGACTTCAGGTGGTGTTTTGAATAACTTCAGAGTATTCAATCTCTAGTGAGAATAACACAGGAACATATGAGCAACAGCCAATGTGGTATTTTGTTCTTTGTTATTAAATTGTTAGGTTTGTTATTCTTTGATAAAACAAGGGATTGGAGATAATGAACTGCATTATTAGCTCATTGGAGCTCAGTACTCCTGAGTCTTAAGGCTACATGTCTGTAAGCTCTTAGAGATCTGCTCTTAATCTCTCTACATGTTTATCACGGTGTTCTCTTCCAATTTAACTTCTGTTATGAAAAATAAAGATTCTAATACACCTTAAGAATAGCGACATCTAGGTGTCAGCTCCAAAGCTTACACGACATGTGATTCAGATATTTTCTAAGTCAATATCTGTGCAGGCTGGCAAGAAACAAATAGCTGTTAATAACTAAAACAACTGCTCTCCAGCATCTCTTCAATGTGGATAATTTAAGGGAGAGATACCTCCTATGTGTTCATTATGTAGTCTGAATAAAGACACTAATTTTTGGCATATTCAGAAGAACACCCGTGCCCTGTAGTTGTTGATACAATCCCTGTTTTGTTCCTCTCTTGCTATCGGCTTGAAAAGTAAGAGGTAGATGCTTAAATTAAATCTGTCTAAGCATCAAGCATATTTTCTGAATAGTAATAGTGTGTCTGCAGAGGCTGCAATGTGGGTGGCTTCGGTATAGTTTCTCTTACATATGTCCATGCTGGGCCTTTCAGTGAGGACGCCACACAGTACTTGACTAAGACCAAGGCAGGCTTAGGAAACGTCCACTTCTCTGACCGTCATTACAGTGACCGTATAAAATACACAGGCATCACTCAGTCCTCACTGAAGGACAGCGCACAAGCTGCTTTTGAAATTTGTGTTAAAACATTAATTTCGTTTTCCAATACTGGGGCACGTCCATTTCTTAGAATACACCATTAGCAGGTGAGATTAAAAAAAATTGAAGGGGAACCAAACCAGATACAATATGTAGCAGGATGGTTTTCTTTACTTCCACATGGTGTGTTTTAACAGAGCTATTAAAGGACATTTTGAACTATTTTGTTTTTACAAAAAATAATACATTTTGCATTGGGGGGGAAAAATGACAAAAAAAAGCCCTGTTTGGTTTATACTAGGACAGGTCTGAGTACTCAGGAGGAGTGAGAAGCATAGTACATGGCTCTCTGAGGACCAGAGGACCAGTGGGTGGTTACAGTAGTTGCCGATATGAAGAAGACAAAAAAAATAAAATGGAAATCTCTGCCTTCATCAACACGGTTTTTAATTAATTAAGGTTCGCAGAATGTTTGGAAAAATTCTTTTTTCACCCCTCTGCCTGAACTGAAATGAGGCTAAAAGTTCCCTTTTAATTACCAGGCACAGTCAAGCCCACAGCACTGTGGTAAATTAAGTTAGTAAGGAGACACACGGGAAGGCCACCTACAATAAAGCGTTTTGCATGAGAAACAAAGCACAGCAGGAAACACACTTTAAACCCATTAGGTACAATTCAGAAACACTTCAGAATGTATTTTAATGCATTAGTGTTCAGCGCACTGCATGAATCACCCCCAATTTCTGCATTTGCAGTGAGGAGCCCATTTTGTCATTGCAAAACCACAACATTCAATTAGTTTCAAGGAAGGGATTTGTCAAGTTCCTCCAGACTGCCACATCTTGCTGGAAGTTTGAATACTCTCCCCTCCTCCCCACCCGCTGTTGGCTTTTTTCTCTCCCATTTTCTCTCTATTTTCCTTCATGCAACTCCCAACTGGCAACACCTTGAAGCTCAGCAGGTGTGAGCCTGGTCAGTACCTGGATGGGAGACCTCCTGGGAAAAATGAGGAGGTCTGGGAGGGCCAGCAGGGGGTGCTCACCCTGCAGTCTGTGTGGGTCCTTAAGCCCCAGTATAGTTACGGGGACACTATACTGTAAAAAGGTGCCATCATTTGGACTCTCTGGTGATCATTAAAAATCCCAGGGTGTTTTTTTGAAAAGAGTAGGTGTGTTAGCAGGTGGGGCTGCACATTGGTGCTGGTGGAGGGGAGTCCCCATTACCCGTAAAGGAGAGAACTCTCTGGAGCCCTGCATCAGAGATTACAGCCCTCACAAACAGCTCTGCAAGCATGCATGTACCTAGGTAGCCATAGGGGTCACACTGTCACTGAAAACTGAAAGAGCCCTGGTCAGCTAATCACATCACATCCTATTCCCCAACACCGCCCAGCCAATAACAGTCCGCTAGTGACATAACCCAGGCTTGAACCCGCGATCACAGAGCTCAGTCAGTGCTCTGTTTACCCATTGAGCCACTCATTAGACCCCTCTGTCGGCATTCTGGTTCTGTTAAACTGGCTTGACCATCTGCCCTGGGCTTGCCATGGGTTTGGCAACCTAGAAGTCAGGGGGTTACTTTAAAGGTATGTGATGCCGTGTGACATTGACACAGCAAAGAGTGGCGGGAAGAACTACAGTATACGTGCCAAGTCTGCATTTCTGTAAATAAACTACATGGGTTCTCCAGTCTTGAATTCATACATAAGCAAGTACATCCAGTGTACATCTCTGCTTCTTGCTCTTTAAGAACATATTTTTCTGCATTTTATTAAATTCTAGCTTGCATACTGTATGATTGACAGAGGTGCTTGATTCAAGACCCAGAAAGCCCAAATGATCATTTTCTGTGCAAAACAGTCTGCCTTGTCAGTATAATGGTCCTGAGGCTCTGTGCATATTAATAAGTACAAAGTTCTAAGGAAGAGGTTGGTTCCCCCAAAGAACATTTTTTTCTTTCCATATTCTAGTAACATGCCTGCAGGGAAATGCAAAACATTTTCAAACACCCACTGATCACATCTGAAGCTGAAAGTATTGGGGGGATGCTGTGAGGTTTATTAATGGTACAGCATGTTCTAATAAACACACTATAATACTGAATTCTCTTGTCTCATTTTCATATAATTAATAAACTGGAAATGCTGTGGTTGCGTTATTACATAATCTGCCCATCTTTAATTTCTGCAGTTCAAAACATACACCTAACGGTATCAGCATCCTGGTGTGGATATTCGGCATCTTCAAAAGATTAACCGTTTAGATGTGGATTTTGTGTGAAGCGCAGGAATCTAATTGCCCAGCCACGCACCAACACCTCTCCAGAAGTAATTCCTTCAAACTGCTTATGACAGCAGATCTGAGATTCTTCTCCAGTCGATGACTTGTGCGTGAGAAAATTATTTTTCTCGTCTTACAAAGGGCTTGCTCCGTGCTCCAACACTTGGTCACCAAAGCGTTTCCAGACAATGAAGAAAATTGGCTTTGTGTCTGTTGTGCCCAATTAAGCACGTTGCGGCTTTCGAACTGCACTCGCGACGTTTCTGCAGTTCTAATTGCTGGGTGTAGAGTATCTAACAACCGTCCAGACGAAGCATTTGAAAGTGGTCATGTCTTAGGGTGGCATTCCGAGATTAAGAGGTGCTTTTGTGTACTCAAGCACCCCGTTTGTCAAACTTAGCATCTGAATTTTGTCTCTCAACTTGCCAGCCATGAACTTAACCCGATCCAGCTGCTACAGGCCTTACTTTGGCACAGATATTAAAATCACTCACGTCCTCATTTAACCCGGCCACCGTGTCACCTCGCTCTTAACCGAAATCAGGGCAGGGAGGAGTGACGCAGCTCTGGTAATTAACCCCTAGCAAGCCCACGGGGAGCTGATGGAGCAGATACGGTTTTAGGATGGGAGAAACTGGGAACCTTTTGTCATCTTGCAGGTTCTGTACCGTCATCTAGGATCTTCTTGGGTCATTTCTTTACAATTTGCAAAGTTGGAAACAAGCATGGCAGATGTGACATAAGCCAAGGTGGTCTTCCACAGCCACCCCCACTTTGACTTTTGCCCATGTAGCCACTCAGCATTCTTCCACTTGCCTACCAGGCACAGTTAGGAGTGCGTCAATATGTGCGGTTGTTTTGTTTTCTCGTTGAACTCGTTGATAAGCCGGGTAAATGCGCATTTGACATGTTTTGCATCTTGCCGTGCTCTGTTGCGCCAGCCCCGAGAAGAGCCATTACCGTTTATAACGCAGGGATGACGCAAGAGAAAACCCAACGTTGCTCTGTGGAGTTGTAAATGAACTCGGCTTTTGGCTATGTTGATCTTTGGTTTGGCAAAAAAAAAATGGTACAAAGGCTTGTTTTGACAGATCACCAGCTGTGCTGGCAACTCGTTTTAAGCTTTCCACCCATCTGGTTTGTAACTGATTTATGCAGTACAGGGTTACTGGGGGCCAGAGCCTATCCTGGCAAGCAATGGGTACAAGTCAGATGAGTTGTGGAGCAGTTAACAGTCCATCACAGAGCGCACACACTCACACCAAGGACAGTTCTCCCCCAAACCTACCAATATGTCTTATGACTGTGAGAGGAAACTCACACCAACACGAACGTACAAACTCCGTGCTGAGCTCACGTTTTTGCATCTCTAGGATTCTCTTTCCATTTTTACCATCTGCAATAATTTGTGTCGATTTCCAGGTGAATCAGAAATGTTTTGAAAAGACTCAGACTGAAGCTAGAGTGCATCTAATTGCTCTGTTGCTTTAAGTAAATAAAACTGAAAATGTATTGAAACAACAGAGGTTTTTCGCAGACTGTGCCTGACCTCACTATAAAACAACAGAAAAGAAGAGTGGTTTGATGATGTAGCTGTAAAAACACAAGCAAAGCAAAACCTTCACTCCTGTTTCTCAGATAACATGGTCTTCAGCTGGCGTTGTTATATCTCTGAGGTTTATTTTAGCAGTAACTCATAGTTTACCATTTCCGGTGTTTTACAGTAGCTTATTTAGCATGTGCAATT